AAATGGGGAAGATAAATTCAGAAGGTTGAGTGGGTTGATCGGTCTGAAAAAATCAGGCATAGAGAAACTGAGACCCAGTTCTATGTGCTACACTGGATGCTTGCACGTATATATGATATGCTCAAGACTACAAGACCTCTGGGATTAGCACAAAATGGGTTTGGGGAGCTTGGAGCCTTCCAGGAGAGTGGGTTTCTCACTTTTTATGGTAGAGGTTTCACTTTTCTCTTTCCAGACAGCCTGGACTTCAAAAAGGGAGGCAGCCCCAGGGCCAGGCAGTGTCCTGAGGCACATTTGCCCCTGAAAAGTTTCACCAGTGATGTTGACTTACACTCCTGCTCACGCGTCTGAATACTTAGTGACCTCAATACAGAAAAACTTGTTACAAGTATAACTTGCTTCAGGGGGCACAGGGACCATCTACACTGGGGAAATGCCAAACTGTTTTCCTGATTCATGGTACGTACAGTGCGACTGAAGTAATAGAGAGCCACAGATTATAGACAAATTGTGAAAAAGCCTAATTCCATTCAACTTTGTTTCAGATGACTTTTGGCAACGTCCTTCCTCCTTCCTTCCTCTGCAAGCATTTTCCTCTTACTCCTAGTGACAGGCAAGGAAGCCTGGTGAAAACTATGCTGTCACTGAGCAGTCTGCCAGGATGATTTTGTCCTGATGTTGGCTGTCAGCCCATGCACCTGCTCCCAGCCACACTGTCCCTCCTCATTACCTAAATCTGTCATTTGGTCCCAACTGCCACACGTGAGGTAGTCTTGTCAGCAAAGGCAATGGGTCTGACAAACTGGCATCATCACCAGCAAAGTAACTCTGGATCACAGCACTCAATCAGTGGCAACATGATGACCTTTGAAGATAATTGGGACAAGAAATCCATGGTAAAAAGCAAGTAGAATGGTAACTTAGGAAGCGATGAGACTAACACTGCAGGCACTAAAAATGACACACATTAAGTGCATAATATGCATTTGCAGGCATGTGAATTTGCAGAGCTAGTCATAGTGATTTCAAAAATTACTGTTTCTGTTTGAAACAAGCAACACGACGATACACACATTTTTGGCTAGCCAGGAGCCTCATGATACCTATTATGACAATGACAGTTACTAGTGGAACTCATCGCAGAGAACAGAAACCCTGTTCTTTTGTACTGGTGCACACCTGGAACAACACTGCTTCCAGCTGTAGTAACTTTCTTTGGCTTCAGTAGAAAGCAGAATATTAAAGAATGAATAATAATAAAATAGCATTAGGGCAGTAATGTTTCTAGCAATTTATGGTTCATCTCAGTACCTTTCTGACTACTATTTACAAAGCAAATGGTAATGTGGAGTGGCAAGATTTAGCATCAGCAAACAGGTTCTGTCCACCCAGAGGACAGCAACGTCCCAGTAACTGTGCGTAAAAGGCCTTCCCGCGCTTTTCTTCCCTTTTTTAGGAGACCATCCCATGCAGACACTGTGTTAGTGCTACCTCACCTGGTTACCGCAAAGCACTGAACTTGAAACTGCTTTGTGGGAAAGTAAGAGGTAATCTTCGTTTGATCCTGTGCGGGACAGCCCCTTACTGACCAAAACAGAGAGCAGGCACGTCAGCATAGCATGTCTTCTACACAGCATACCTACGCTGACTTTCCATACTTCCTAGATACTATCATAGATCCAGAGCTGCACATCGGTGGCAGCTAGGACAATATTCTGGGGAACCGTTGCTACATGCTTGCCCTCTCCTTACGCAAATTCACACGTCTGCTCTTGGCCATTGCCAGAGAGAAAAAACACTGGCCTAGACAAACATTTAGTGTAATCCAGAACTACTGCTCTTGTGCAAATACTCTGACACAAACACCCAACTAGGTCGCTTTTGTAGTGCTGGCATTAAAGCTGCAAACCGCGGAAGTCTCTGAAGCTACCTACTTAGACAATTACTCATTTCAACCTCCAGCAAGTCTTGTGTTCACCCGCACTAGGTGCAACTGGTGAACCTTCGGGAGAAACTCTTAGGAAAGAGGACATGTTCTCAAAGGGACAAACACGGCTGTTGCTCAGCTCCAAGATGAACACTCAAGTGGGTTCCTTCCCCCGACACAACTGAGTGGCCTGCTGGTTCTTTCCCTTGAAATAATAATAAAATACATTTATATTTAATGACGGAAAGACAAAGATGGCAAATGTCAGCTATAACATGGGAATAAAGCTATTAATGGGATATACGCCTGGATCAATTGAAGACAGGAGACTAAGGAAAGGACTCAGACACTTCTCTTCTGCATACGAGTCATCTGCTCGCATTTCTAAGTCCCTCTTGCCCCTTTTGTTTCAGCACGGCTGTTTTACGGCCCATGCTCTCCGTTTGGTTTTACATGCACCCGCTTCACAGTTTGTCTCTGGGAAAGATATGCACTTTATACTAAGGTTCTTGCGTGATAATCTGTCTCCTCCTAATCTGGATTCTAGTTTTAACTATGCTGATCTTGTGTCAGCTTCACATGAAGATGTACAAGCTGTAGGAAATGAAGGCTGTTGTTTTCAGCAGTGGTACTGATAACCTGCAATGCCAGTTTTTCAGATTTCCTCAAATATCGGAGCAGTTAGGTTATAAACACAAGATAAATGTTATGCCACTATTTTTTATTTGCTATAATGATCAGCATCTGAAACAAACACACTTTGGAGTGCTGTTTTTCTATAGGAATCATCAACACAATGCTAAGCTACAATTAATGTCAAGGTTAGGTAACACAATCTGGCAATAATTGTTCCTCCTTGAGTTGAGGAAGGCTAACTAAAGGATGCCCAATCTTGACAAACGCAGACAGGATTTTTGCACAGTATGCGCACGCACACACCCCACTAAAGAAAATACTCCCCACTTCATAGTGCAGGCAGGCAAAAGCCAGACTTTTTATTTAAGTTTAAAATAACAAATACTCACCTACATCACAGTATACTGCTTAGTTTATCGCTTCTGCTTTGAATTCTGTGCTTTCGTTTCACGCGTCTACATTTTGCAATTGTGTACACGCTGCAAAATTAACTTTGTATATCATTTAGCATCTGTGCATATCCTTTAGAGCTTAATGTTACACTGAAATTAAAAGAAATCTTGAATTCTAAGGTACTGAAAACAATCAATAAAATTCCACTGAAAAAAACCCAGTATAAATGTTTCTTGTAGTACAGTACTCTTAATTTTATGTCAGTGTCATTTTAATGCCATAGTTTTCAATTATTCACTGTACAAAGAGAAGCTTAGGAAAAAAAATAATCTAAAATGCCATTCCTATGTCTGTTAAACTCTGGTGATTTATGATATATGTACAGTATATAAATATATTTATGTATATATGTACATATATATTGGTTAACATTCATTATAAATAGAACTGTGTTAACTTAAGCAGTATAAAAATAGCCACTTCTGGGAACATGCAAACACAGTATGCTCTCACCTAATCTATAAAACCCAAAACAACCAAAACCTTTAGCTCTGGTTTTCTATAAATATAAATTTTAATTGAAGACTTTCAGCTGATTTAACCATAAAGTAAGTTTTTCCAGTAAAGATATAAAACCTGTTTGATGCTAGCTATAATTAAGCTCAAACACAGTATATTTTGGGTTATTTACTTTCAAGTATTTTTCCCATGTGCGCTAAATCTAGACACACTGCATTTTTTTCTTTTACAGTAAAATATTATTCAGCTCTAAACACTAAAAGCCAAATTACAGGCAATCTGGCATGCTTGCACTGCAGGGAAAAGGCTCTCCTCTACACTATTCCTATGTGGGAGGCTGTCCTAATATGGCTATTTGTGCTCCAGATCTTTTGTTCATTGCAAAGCAGTATCAAGATTCCCATATTGTAGATTCTTAAGGCCAGAAGAGAGAGTACTACAACCACTTAAGTCTCATCTCTTGCTCACTGAAATTCACTCTGAGGTCCCTACATTCAGCACAGTGACTGGTAGCTGGACTAAAACACCTCTCCTGTCACAGCCAAAGAGGTTCCAGCTTCAGAAGTTGAGCGAGATCTTGACTTTTTAGTGACTTTTCCCAAGGGGAAAAAAATTCGGTTCCATCCGAACCAAATGTGACATTTTTCCTTTTTTCTTGCCATATGAAAAACTGAAAAATTGTTTTGCCCTGAAACATTCCCTTCTCCCCCAAAGTGTTCTGAGTACTAGTTCGAAAAGCAAAAGAAGAAAAATGGGCTAGGTTCAAAAGTGACACTATTTCTGTTTCTCTGCTTACCTATCAATCAGCTCAGCAGAGAGCACACACTGGGCTGGACTGTGGGAGAAACAGTGCTGAGTCCTTCTGCTGAACAGATGTCAACCATCTACTAGAAGAAAGCCATAAGCACATGACTATGACAATTGTGGCATACGCTGAATTTCAGTTCTCTTTTTCATTCCATTTCACTCCACATAGTTAGAAACGCGCTCCTACCCATTTCAGGGGACAGAGCACTGAAACGCAGTTGTCTTCCTTCCCTGTAACTCCATCTCACCCAGCACTTTAAATAGCTCTTGCTACCTCTCAGAGTTTACAAAAGTATTTCACACAAAGACAAACCGCATGGAAGACTCAAGGCACACTCTCTTCAGGACACCATTTTTCTTGTGATTGGGGGATCTTTTAAGGAAGTAGGAAACTTCAATGTAAATGGGACGGGCAAAGGAGGGACTGGAGCCTTGTTTTTTCATTCCTAGAATTATTATTTGCACCTGCAAATCACTGGGTAATAGAGGGATGATCTAGGTACTCCTCCCTCCAGCAGATCTATAGATATTCCTCTGGAAGTGTTTTCCAGATTAAGATATTTGGTGCGTTTGGATGCAATCTGTTGACTACACTTCTGACAATCAAAAGTGCACATCCCCAAATTTGCTATGTCGCAAGACGGGGGGTGCAACTAAATGAGTTGGACGCCAGTGAAGGCCTACTCTCCTAAAGATATCAGATGAAGTTGCTTGTGCAAGCCTTTCTCTCTGGCACATCTGAAAGTGGTACACCTAACTTCTTATCCCTCATGCAAAATGGCCTAATGTTCCCAGCCATATCCTACATTTTTTCCCTTTTCCCAGGGTGGCTCCCACAATTTTCCCAGAAGTCTTTATGTCAGAAATGATGAATCCTTGTTAAAGTAGCACAGTCTTCCAGCTTTTATATTTTCAGAAAAAAATATGAGGCATTCTATTTCTTATGGTAAGTAGCATAAATGCACCAAAATAACAGTATGGATACCCCTGTATTAATTGTTTAGAGAGCTGTCATTGGAAGTTGGGGACTGGGAAGTCACAAAAGGCTCATTTGCCTTCTGATCGTCCTTCATGGAGGCTGCTTGGTCTGAGATGGAAGAGAAGGAGAGCTGGTCATGTTCCATTATATGCACTTGGTCCTCTTCTTTGTCTTTCTTCACATAAAACAACTTCCTAAACTTTTTGAGCTCGTGGAGTTCACAGAAAGTCTCAAGAACCACCAACATTGCGATAAGACCCAGCAACAGATAACCTGGGTACAAAAAAAAAAAAAAGGTGTTTTAATTATTAGAAAATTAAATGGGCCTGGAACAGTTTTACCCCTGCAACTTTTCCCACCCCTGTCATCTCTGCACAGTATTTTCTTTATGACCCATTTTCAGAGCTCTGTAACCCACTTTGGACTGTCAAATCCTTTTTTTCCTTTTTAATTCTACAATCAACAAGACTCCACACAAATAAAAAAAAGTAACGCTAGTGGCTTTAATTCTGTTACAACTGTACAAGAGAAAAATATGTAAAGGAATTAAATGAAACCCAATGCTAAAATTTACCACATGCACACTCCCCCACTTACAACCTTCATGATTAAGTGTTCTTCAAAAGATTTTTTTCCCCTTAATATTCCTATATGTTACAAATAGAAGTAAAAATATGGCAGCTAATTGCGGTTATTTGTTGTTTGTACCAGTTTAGCAGAACAAATCACTTATGTTTTATGAAAACTTTGAATTATTTTTCCTTTAAAACTCTAAGTTATATCCAACACCCCGAAATGAGTGGAAAAATCAAAGCAACTACAAAACCAATAAAATCAAAATGAAAAATTACTGTAAAATTACTGCTGATATTTACAAAGTTGCTATATCTGATGAAACCTGGAAGGCTATTTGCAATGTTTTATTAACATACATAAAGTACCCGAACTTGAAGTGTTACTTAAATGATATTACTGATTACTTTAGTGGTATACTGACTCTGATTTTTAAAGGTAATAGTCAGCTTTCATAGACCGAAACTTTTGGAAATGGAGATTTGTCTGGTTAATAGCTCACTGTAACATTTTTTTTTCTCTTCAGAAATATGCACCTAGAATTTGAGGGAAGGTGTTAAAATGAGCATTTCTTAATGTTTCATTAGATCTCTGCTACTGCTACAATTTAATGAGGAGCAGATGATAACCTGAATGTGTTATCATTTCAATGAATAAATCAAGCAGAAGCTAAGTGTATAATTATTAGTATAACATGCTCATACAAAGGCTGAACATTAAACGTGCTGAAAGATCAACACAGATTAATTATTATAATCTACCTATGGTCACTGTTGTGTTACCTAAAGGCATAAATATTCCACCTCTAGTTACAAATTATTCACTGGCAATACCACTCTCCTTTTCTTTCCAGGAGCACCATTAAATCAATATTGCAATACCAGGTACTGATCTAAATCAGCACTACAGCTAAGATCTATGAATTATTTTTAAGCTTTATCTCATGACATCAAATGAGAGCTATGCATCAACACAGAGAGGAAACAGCAAAGCTAGGCCAATTAAAAGGCATCTATAAATCTGCACCAAATTTTGTAATTATCTCTGAAACTCAGTCTAGCTGACCAGCTGATTTAGCACAGGACTTGTGTTCTAAAAAATCTTGAAAAGCCTGTAGGACTCAAGAAGCATTTTCTGGTGGAGAACTTCAAAACTTTTCTTGAAGAGAATTTAGGTTCAGCAAGAGAAAACATTTTATACATCCTGTTCAGTTCCTTGAATTGTTCACATGAAAGGAAAAAGAATAATTTAAAAGTTATGACCTTAAAAACTGTTGAAATTAAATATTCTAACATCATAACTTTGCCTAAAAGCTACTTTTTCATTTTCAGAAATAAACTGCAGGAAATACTAAGTGTTCTACAGTTTGAAAAAAGGATAATTTGAGCCATAATGTTTTCTTCTGCTTTTGAGTTTTCAGACTGGCTAGAATTCTTACAAGACCTTTACTATGCATGACTTTCTCCATTCACTTCTTCATTTGGCATCCCCAAATCAACTCTGCAGATCAGCAGGCTAATAATGAAAAGCTACCGCAGGTAAGATAAACACAATGGGTAGAGGGGGAAACCTTCTGTAATGACAACAGGCCTGGCAGGAGGATGAAGTGTTCTGTTGGCTAGTTCAAGGCCCCACTTCAAGGAATGAAAATTCAAAGCCTGATCTTTCTTTAGGTAAAACACAAACCCAAGTTAACGGACACTTTACCTACGTTAAGATTGCTGGATCATGCACAGGAGCACAGACAAATGCATACCAGCCTAAGAAATGGACCTGATAGGAAAGGTTTGTTTGGGCCGTTCAGATCTTTTAACTGATGCGTATGATGACCTGGGACTGTGCAGCCTGAAGCTGTATCAGAAACTGGGATGCTTCAAAACACTGCCACTGGAAAACATTGTGCTCAGCATACATTTGTTCAGAATGCCAACACATGGATAACTTTTGTAGCTCTACTTTGGTCAAATCACTGATCACTGTACCTCTCTCTTCTGTGTCAAACATAATTAAACAATTTAAATTTAACATCTGTGGTCTTGCTTTGCTATCATGTCAGTCTACTTGCCTCTGTTTGACAGCTGGTATGTCCCAGTGCCAGTTTCAACTAACTTCTGTTACAACTGGAGTCAGAAATTGTGCTATTCTGCCTCACTTCCCATTGCTCCTTGATTCATCTCTGTCCACCTGTCATCTCACCTTACGAGATGACCTTAGGTTACAATGATCATCTTCCTGGCTCTGTGATGCACTGAAACCTTAGCCCAAGACGCTCACAACCATTTTCGTAACACTAATGTGACCATTTTTTCTACTATTAATAAGAGAGTAAGTAGCTATGGTTCAGCACAATGGAATTCTGGCTTTAGCTTTTTCTTTCTTAACTAAAGAAAACTGACCTTATTTCAAGGTTTCCTCTTTGCACAGCTACCTACGATGCCCAGTTTGCTAGCTGACAGCTCACAAAACAACCACCATCCACAGAACGGTGAGGGATGTCTGATGATTTATTTTATCTTTTTTTTTAATAAAATGCCTTTTATTTAACTGGTTAGTTTGACACTTACATGTAATTCCGATTTTATACAGCTCTCGGAATTTTTGATTGTAGCCTTCTCCTGGCACATAGTCTCCGAGGCCAATGGTGCTCAGGGAAATGAAACAAAAGTAAAAAGATTCCAAAAAATTCCAGTCATCTTCCAGAACAGAAAATATTGCTGCTGGGATTAAGAAGAAGCACGAAACAGTGATGAACCCAAGGACTATAGCATGGATGATTGCAACAATCTGCTTGGAGAAGCCCCAGCGAATGTGGAAATACAGTACAGGCCGCCTGGTGACATACACAATGATGCGCTGTACTACTGCTGTCAGGAAAAGCAGTGTAAATGGGATCCCGATGACTGAGTAGATGATGCAGAAGGCCTTTCCTCCATCAGATAAAGGCACTGTGTGTCCATAACCTGCAACAAAGCAGAGGAGGCAAAGGTTGAGGTAAAGCTGGGAAATTATGAACCAATTTGATACTGGCTATATTGTGGGAGACAAAGAACCACGTCACTATCACTATTTCTGAATTCTGCTGTTCTTGAGAAATGCTGTTCAAAGGTCTGTTTTAAGCAGGCAAACAAAGCCTAAGTACTAGGAATAAGCAAGTAAAAATAAAAAAAGTAGTTTTAGATTTCAAAATTGTGAACTTAATTGTATAAATGCTTATTTTGGAGAAGGAAGTAATGCCTAGTCAGGAGTGTGAACCTACTCCAGAAAAACTGTGTTTTATTCTGGGTTTTCCTGCTG